CTTGCAGCTCTAGCGCTCGTCGGAGGGCCTCGTTTACCTTCTTCTCACCTCCTAGCAGCAGCTGGAACTTTATATCGGCATCTCGTATTCCGTATACGAAGGCTGTTCCTGCCTCTCTTCCTATGTGGTCTGCAGGTAGATTTGGGTAGGCAAGATGGGAAAGCAGTTGAATGGCCGTGGCAAAGTCTTGCAGGGATTCTCCAGGTTTCTGGGTCCTTGTTCTTAATTGGCAGCGGAAGGCAGCTGCAAAGTGTTGGTCCCCGAACCGGTCCTCTAGAGCCTAAAGAGTTTCCTCGTAAGTGGCATTTGCCGGAACGCCGGGTAGTATTTCTGCCGCCCGGCCCTTCAGAGCGGTGATCAGGTATGTTAATTTTTCCCTGTGCGACCATTGGTTGTGTTCTGCTACGGTCTCGAATTGTCGCCGGAACACGATCCACGTTGAATTCCCGTTGAATGTCGGTGGCTGAGCTGTGCTCGCGACGATCGTTTATGTATTTCCCCGCTCGGCCTTCATTTGCACCATGTCCAACCGGGCCAGGAACTCGCGTTTGGTTTCGTCAATTGCTGCGCAGGTTTCGTTCTAGTTTTTCTTCAGGATTTCCTGGAGTTTATCTGTCCGCTCGCAGAGGGACACTTCAATCTGTTCAGTTATTTCTGACCGGAGAGGCTGCTTGTCGTGTTCAACGACCGCCAAAATGTTTTCAACTCTGTGTTGGATTGATCATCCAACTTTGACCGCATAGATCGCATTTCGGCCTTCAATTCTTCCTTGTCGGCCGTCGCCTTTCTTTGCTAGGCGTCTAATTTTGTTAGGAAATCACTTTGTTGGGTTTTCATGTTAGCGTCCATTCTTGACAGTGTTTCTTCCTTCTCCGCCTTCCTTTCTTCCTTTTCTTTCCTCCTACTTTCCTCCATCTCTTCCTTCCCTTTCCTCCTCTCTTCTTCCCTATCGGCTTTCTGTCTGGCCGCCATTTGCCCCTGGGCGAACAACAGACGTTTCATCATCTTTTCCATGTCCATGTTGTAGCAGTAAAATACTCAGTTCACAATAATTCAATTATTTGTCGAGGCGTGTTCAAGTTCGTAAAACACTTCTGACACCAATGTAACGTGTTTTGAGTTCGAATCGCGTTGATCACGTGTAAGTCCAAATCCCACTTCTGACACCAGTGTAACATGTTGGGTTACTGAAGACGCCGTAGAGATCGTCAATTGGTTTATTTAACAACCTACAAGTAACGGCTACAATTAATTATTACACAGTTGCCGGGTTTCACTCTTTATAACCCTATTTGCAAATCAGTTCGCTCTATCTTCAGTAATCTACACATTTACAGTAGGGGAGCTATGTATCACTGTATCACACACTCCCAATTACACAGTTACACACACGTCCGGTTCATCTTTCCGTGACGGCTGCTATACTCCAACTGTAGTCTGCTCACTGGAGAACTGTTGATAACACACTCGCTCGACTACTACTTAACTCGGCGACTGCTACGTTACAACTGGCTCGTAGCTGCTGTGCAGTTCCCTTATATAGCCGCAGTGTTGCCTGTTGCGTGCCACGTCACAGTGGGAAGAGGTGCCGCGTCACCGTGTTTGCGTATAGCCTAGCAAGGCTGTTACCGCGCGGTGACGTAAGACGTTACCGTGCTGAGGGGGTGAGGGGAGCGCTGACTCATCCGCCACGTCACTGTGGCCTGAGTTGCCACGCTGCTGCTGGGTAGGGAGAGGTTCTCCGTTGCGCAACATGTCACAATAGTATCACAAAGTACAAAGTGACTACCTGGGCCAAACCACTGTGTAATTAACACATCTAGGAGATATCAAGGTGAGGCTTCTTCCATTTTAAAATATTACTATTAGTTGCTGGTAAATAAATTCGTGCTTCGACTGTCCTTTCCCTCTGGAATATTTATACTCACTAGCAGGATTGCAGTTGGGCGATGAAGAAAATTTCCAACTCTCCTCCAGATGATCAAATTTCCCACTGCGGAATCTCAGATTTAGAAATATAACTTTATTCTTTATTACATGAGCAAGTTCTGATACATGTACTGCCATTTGGAAGTAGCCCTTTAATTTCCTGGTTATAGAAGGTGGGAAAAAATATCCGAAGTTTCTTTCTCGTGAGGCGCGAAAATGAAACTTGTTTCACATCGCTGTTGTAACGGAGTGGTTAGAGCGGAGAAAGCAAATTCTGCATGCGCTCTTACACCTTGGTATTCCGTTTAGTATCCGTGAAGAACCGGACAGTGTAACTTTGCGATTTCAATGCGACAACATACAGGATGGCGCACGAAATGATCCTGTGTTTGATTTAATATTAATTATTTAACCATGAAATGAACGATGTCTTTTAAAATGGAGCACTTATAGTAGATCATGGAGGTTAATTCTAACTCTTCCCGAGCGCGCTACTATCGCGCTGTTCCTGCTTATGCTCCAATTTACACAAAATGACTGACAAAGGAAGACTCTCTGTAGAACAGCACATAATACCAATGTTGTTCTTTACTGAAACAAAAAATGTTCTGGTCACACAGTGGCGGTTTCATGCCCATTTTCAAACCCAATTGGCGCCTTCATTCAAAATAATCCATAAACTTTATAACCAGTTTAATAATGATGGTTCAGTGTTGGAGAGGAAACGTCGCCGAACTTCATCTGTGCTTTCCCCAGAGATCAATGACGCTCTCATAGTGGTGCTGCAGAGAAGCTCCAGTAAATCGACAAAGACTACAGCACAACTAGGGATATCCAGACGATCGGCTCAAAGAATACAGAAACATGATTTGAAACAAACATCAATGAATGGCATTTGCTGAATGGGCTCTGATGTGGCACACTTCAACTTGGGTGGGGTGGATAATAAACGAAAGTTGTAATTTTGGGCGTCAGAAAATCCACGCGTGATTCATGAGAAGGTGCATCATGCACCGAGAATTACTTCGTAGGTAGCCATCTCAAGTCATGTCCTGCTTGAGTCAATTTCCATTGAAGAGAGAGTGAAAAGTGAGCACTATTTAAGCTTGTTGCGCAATAATTTTGTATCTGACCTTCCTACTACATGTACGCCGTTACAAAATCAAGGGTTCATACAGGATGAAGACAGGACGCAGATAGCGGATGTTGTTTTGGACTATCTGCATGACACTTTCGACTCGTGTGTCATCTCAAACCGATTCCGTGATCATTTCGCATGTGGACGGAACTAACTACCGAATAGTCCTGATTTCTTCGATGTTTCTTTAAGGAAAATTTTTTCCCAAAAAACCGCAAACAGTAATGGAATGGAGAGCATAATCATTCAAGCCTGCAGCAAGATAACTGAGGATATGTGCCGTCGAGTAATCATCAACATCACAGTTCTTGTTGAAGAAGTTGCCAGAGGCAATGACGGTCTTACTGAACACTTGATTCACAGAGGATTGGTCTCCATGCAATTCCTTTTCTTCTTATATGTCAGTTTCTAATATTATAATTGAAATAAAGATTTTAATAATAAATCAAATAATGGATCATTTCATGTAGTGTGTAGTTTGCAGTCGCAAAGTCATTATCAGCATGAATCTGACGATCGAGAATTCAGTAGCTTAACGACAATCTGTAGCGGGTTGAATATTTAAATGTTGATGACAGTGTAGTGAGTGAGTGTGTTGTCCTTGCACGCTTCGTTCTCATGCAAAAAGTGTCGAGTCACCGAGGGCAGTAATGTAATAAACACGAAGGCGCGGTATGCGGTCGCCTTACAGAAGACAAGAAAGTTCTTTCCAATAAGTTTGTATGAAGACTTTAGGCTTCGTCCTTACAGAACACACATAACTCATTAACTGAAAGAACAATATAAACCTTGCCGTGTGAATATTTTTAGACAGTTTATGGGGCTTGGGACCGCCTCTGTGGTCTAGTGGTCAGAGTTACTGGCTACAGAGCCAGAGGTCCTGGTTCGATTCCCGGCTCTGCCAGATTTTTTCTGAGAAGTAGCGGATCTGGAACAGGGTTCACGCAGCCTCGTGAGGATAATTGAGAAGTTATTTCAATAAAATAGCGGCTCCGGTCTAGAAAAACGAAATTAACGGCCGTGGGGTTCGTTACGCTGACCACGCGACACACTCTATCTGCAAAAGTTGGCACTGAAATTCGCCGACAAGCGGCGGTAACTCAGAAGGTATAGTTCGCTTGCGGACTAAAATCACGGAGTTTCTGTTGTTGTTGTTGTTTATGGACCTTGTGGATAATAACCAAGAGGTTTTGGATGCTTTGATCATGCCAGAGAAGGCCCGCTCTTCTGTTACATAGACAAACAAAATTTCAGGAATTGGAGCTATGATAATCCTAGCAGATCCGCGAGAAATCCCTCCATAGTGACAAGTAACTTTCTGAGGTTGTCTTCTTGCCTTTGCTGTGATCGGGTCTTATTTCCTTGGGTGATTCGAACCAGACCGCTACCGTGGATCCTGAACGCTACTGCACTCTGCTGCAACCATCTTTTGGCTGCGAAGGATAAGGCAAAGTGTGAGAAATGTAGGATTTAAACAGGGTTGCGCAACGGTCTACATGGCAAGGCAAAGCATGTGTCTTCTTAGAGGAATGTGTTCAGCCCACTTAATTTCACGGCTTTGAGACTCCTTGGCAATCACGTTCCCCGAACTTGACAGTCTAAGTGCGCGCTGCTCAACCTCAATTCACCCGAAAACTGAAGGACCGCATTACGGAAGGAACTGGAAGAGTTAATAATGCTTTATTGCGGCTAGTTGTGCAGAAATGCAGACAGCAATGAAGGCAATATATCGAACGTCATGGCGGTCATTTTGAACATATATAGCACTGATGCTAAATCACAATCATCATGTTAAATGTTCCTTAAAATAATTAATTTATTGTTCTGGCTGTCACATAGCCAGCGGAAAACCGCAATGGTGCACCGGAGGTATACTCCACTTCAGTAATATGCAGGAAAATTATTTGTAAGAAATACTTTACAAGAATCATATTACTAAGAAATTAGTACTCGAGGACCAAGACTAATTCCCAGCTCTAGGTTTCGAATTTTCCTTTACAGAGATATGTTCAGAATTCTCTGGTACTCAGAGAAATTCCTAAGTGATTAGCACTGGTTCCTGATCTATTATCGCTGTAGTAAATGTAGTCGAAGCGTGGGGTTAACCGCACGCCTCCATTAATATCCAATGAGCTTTCCTGGCGCTGCGTTAACCATGGGTAGCCGGGCGACGTTCATGTATGAATACTGATTATGACTGACGTCTTGTTAATCAGATGCTGATAACCCTCTTTTCTTTTCAGTCTTCGACAATTCCCCCTGTGGCGTTCATTCCTGTAATTGAGACCCAGGTGGGGGAGGGAGATGAAGTATTTATCAATGACTATCCGATGAAGATGCTTCTCAGCGATGACCTGGAACTCGTGCCTTGGATGGTGGGAATTACATCAAGAGAAGGAGGAATTTTATCAAAGTGTGAGGCAATATTTTTCACATAAAATTAATTACTACGTTTTTCTTAATATGGAAACTGAATTGTCATTATCAATAAAGGGCATGCCATTGGAGCCCGCCCTGAACTAAAGCAATCTATAATGGATCAATGTCGAGTATTTGTCCCAACTATGGCCTCAACATTCAAACTCCCTGTCTTCATTTTTTCCCCAGTGGCGGAGCATGACTTTTCCGAAAGTGTTGCCCAAATCTCAGTACAGGAGGTCTTCAATTCTTTGATAATTGACCATATACTTCGTAGAGGAAACCTATGGAAATATGATTTAAACATTAGTTAAGATAAAGAATTAAATAGGAGCGAGCGATTAGCGAGCTTATTTTTCCTTTATTTCACTTCAGACTTTATTTCCATGCGACGGATTTATTCAGCAAAATTATCTGTCACAGAGTCACAGAAATTCATACCGTTTTCCAAATTATGAAATGTGTACTTCTCAAACGTAATTAATGATAATTTAGTGGGTCTCTGCTGAGTCTATATTGTGGCTTATAGACAAGTTGCTGAGCAGTGGCTCTCTAAACAGCGACCGTTTCTGGGCAACGGCTCGGTAAATACCTTCCCGTTGTTAGGCAGCAGATTCTTAATAATGCAACACTTATACTAAAACAATGGAAACAGGGTGTTTCTACGTGGTCCGCGTCGAGATACCTTAAGAAAAGGATAAAGTTCAGTTGAATTCTGTGCGGAGGTTGTGCAGAGGACCTGAGGAAGTGAAGCTGAAGATTCTACGCTGTTAAAAACCGTTGCCAGGGAACAGTTGAAGACATATGTAGCAGTTTGTAAATAGCTTAGCGAGTGCTGTGGTGATTTGTGAATTGTCGCGCTGTGATTACTTGTACTTAAGAGTCCTGTGTATAAGAAACAATCCATACCACAATCCAATGAATCATTTTCAAAGCAAAGAATGACCGCTTGAGAGACGCACTAGTTTCTGGAGCGTTTAATGATAACGCAGATAATATTGTGACTTCTGGTAATGCTGTACTCAGATTTTAGGCTATAGAAGATTTAAACAGGTTCGTAATGTTATTTTGTGGCATTTATTTCGAAAATATAGACGAAAGTTCAGATTTCAGTAGAAGAGGATTAAAATACCGTCTCAGTGATTTAAATAACGATTCATACTCAGCGACTGGAAAGTTTCAGTAATCTATTTTGTGTCCGAAATCTAATAGTCAGACGAACTTCAGTACGAGAATTTCAAAGAATCAGTTGATCAAATGTGCTTTTATGGTTTCTGTTACTTCACAGCAAAACCTGCGATAAAAATTTTCTCGGTCGGAGATTCTGAATGTTGTTTATCTGACCGTGAGAAGGCTTAATTTTCTGAACAAATCTTTTTCAAAATTCTTGCAGTTCCCACGTTAGGGAATTATAAAATTCAATTTTTGTGGAACATTAAGAGACGCCGTCACTTCTGGTTCACAAATTGTCAAAGAGTTCGTTGTCTAGGAGTGTTACACCTGAAACTACTGTCAAATAAAGCTGAAATCAAAATTTCGATGTCATAACATGGAGCAGAAATGTGCGTTTCTCCGTCCGTCTCCTCTTTTCTTCTTTTGGCTTACTTGCGTGCTCTGCATGCGATGTGCATTGGCAGCTCTGCTTGACGACCTTGACTGTCATAATAGCTTTCTATAGCTTGGAGTAGCTCGCACTCTTTCCATCCCTCAAGTCACCATACGCTGAGCGCAATTGGCTGACAAGCGTGTGACGGGCTGAGGATGCGTTCTGCCATCATGTGTTGTACCACTGGAGCACACAAGTATCAACACAATGGCACTTCCTTTTCAAAGTTTCAGGTAGGCTGACATGATTAACATTAATGCCACATCACTTGATTTTTCTGCCAAAATATTTTGTGCAATCAAGTAAACAATATATCGGCTGCAACCACCTTGATGAAGTTAATCTAAAATGTGAAACGTGCAGAATATGAAGCCAGACGTTTTCTCCAGTTACAGTTCGTTTATTTATTGGTGGTTATTTCCGCCGTCCCGGTACTCCCGTTGGATATTATGTGTCACTTTCCCGTGTCCGTTTTACTTCCCCACCCTGAAGATGGAGGCAGTTAGTTGCTTAGAAACATTTTAACAATCTACTAGACTATAACGCCATATCCCTGCAGAATAGCAGAAATCTTTCGCAAGCGTGACACTCCTAGAAATTATTTCTTTGCCCTTGAAGGTTGTGCTCGTATAGGCCCATCACCGGGCCGGGGCNGTGGTAAGCGCCTGTAACCACACGGCCATGCAAAGAAGCGAAACATGAAGGGTCTTGTATTAAAACATGCCTAAATTTTAACGGTGACCACAGGGCAAACAACGAGCGATGCCCCGTAATTAAAAGAGAAAGAAATTAATCAAATCATGGCTCATTGAAATGATGAATTTTTTGAAGCACGAAAAATTATAGAAAATGGTCACAACCCTGGCGGTAGAACCTGCCTTCGCTTTAGGTGCTCTAAGCCCCCGAGGGTGAGCCTATGAGGAACTTCCCATTTCTCAAAACGCCAAAAAGACGAAAGCAGTGGGATAATATTGAGAAAAACCAAAATAATGAAGTCCCGAGCCAACGATTGGATGGAACCCGGGGAGAGGGCAATGGAAGAAGCAGGACTCAAACAACTGAACCGAGTTCAAACAAGACTGAGCAAAGGAACAACTATAAAGACGAGAGAGTGTTAGAGATATCTTTGGACGAGTTGGAGTCCATTGAAATGGAGGACGAAGTCAATAACATATTGCTGACGACAATCAACCTAGTGACAAACTTCGGGAAAGCTAAACCAATGGTCAGACACCCGTGGAAAGCCTTCGAGCTTCACGAACAGCATTACAATAAAATTCAAAAGAATCAACCAATTAAGATAGTTCAATGGAACTGTAGGAGCCCAAGTTCCCCGAATTCCAACAGAGGAGCCAAAACATAGATGTCATAACGCTATCAGAGACCTGGCCTGGTGAAACAGAAAGTGTATGCCTGAAAGGCTTTGACGTGGTGAGAAAAGAAAGAAACGAAAGAGCAGGGGGTGGAGTTGCCATTTTTAGAAATAACAAACTGAAATATTCGCGTAAAAATGGTTTATATGTTGGTGACAGCAAAATTGAAGCGTGTGCAATTGAACTACATACGGACCAAGGTAAAATATTAGTCGTGTCATGTTACAAGCAGCCACACATGAAAATCGAGCTGAAAGTATGGAAAAAAAAAATTATTCACACAATTAAAAGGTAAATTCTTGATTGGCAAAGACTTTAATGGACATCATGGGGTAATTCGACAAATTGTACAACCGGCAGTAATCTGTACCATTGCATCACTGAATTGGAAACAAACATCACGTTGCTATATGACTGCTCCCAGACACATATCTCCGATGTCACAGGATCCAAGGCAGCCCTCGACCTAAGTTTTGTGGACCCAAGATCAGCACTGTCATGCAGCTGGAAGTTTGGGAGAGACCCTTGGAATAATGACCATTATCCAATTTTCATAGAGTATAACGGCAAAACAGAGCCAGGGAAAGACAGGAAAGAGGCTTCTAGATTGCCTAATAAAGACACTGATTGGCCTGTCTTCATGGAAGAAGATAAAGAAAAAATCACGGAATCAAAACGCATGACACGTGGAACAGAGAACAGGATTTAATAGAAAGGTAAAGTAATTTGATCCAGATATTTAAAGGAAAATTAGATGGGACCACTCCTAAAAGAAAAAAAAAACGAAATCAATCTCGGAAATGGAGGACAAGGAAATATAGGAAAAGGGAGTGTACTGCAGTACCAGGGGGAGGCTAAGGAAACAACTTGATTACTTCCTCGAACGTTGCTTCATTGGCTAGGGGCACACAGTTCACAGGGCTTGTCAGGAGGGCGCAGGTGCGAAATGCGGTAAGGGAAAAAATCACATTAACAAAACTCAACTTCCTCACCCTATACTACACTATATTAGTTATAAACAATCAATATACTGTTATATACATTACATAGAGCCGACTGGTGTCGGATTACATATGACCTTTCTAGGCGATTCATTGGACCTCATCTTTGCCTCTCTTTTCACCCAGTTGCGGGTCGCTAGTCTCCTCTTTTCCCTATTCCACTCATCCATGTAGCTCCACTACACCTCTCTTATCCCCTGCATATACCTACATATATATTTATATATATCTTTACACCCCTCTGCAGCCTCTATATTACACAGGTCTACCTCTGCCACTCTGAATCACTCTTACGCCCTGTACGCTTGTTGTAACGTTCCTAACTCATGTCCCATTGGAGGAGTTGTAATTTAATAATATCACAATTAAATAGCGTGGCGATATTGATCGAGATTCGATTGATTCGTCGAGTTCATAGGGATTGACCATTCAGTAAGGAGTAAGTCTGTTCGACAAAACTCGATATTGGATGAGAAATTTGTACTAAATTCTTGTGTCTGGGCAACATTGTGAATTCAGTGCGGGAAGTGAGATGTGTCTCAATATTTGTTCTATACATCAGTACTCGGCCGGGTGTTTAATCTGTAAGTGTCCAGCCAGTAATGGCTGGCGTCCCTGTGCCGGGGTACCAGGCATTCTGGGCCGAAAAACGTGCCGCTCTTCAGGCCGAATGTAAAGAAATCATACGACAATATCCCGAGGCCGAAACCCAGTACAGGCGGTTATTCGACATCTTGTGCAGCATTGAGGACGTGGCCGGTTTCACAACTGCTGCAATTGGAGAAAGTGCAGAATGGGCGGCAATAGTCAGCACCGCCGATGAAAATAGGATAAATTACTGTAAGTCCCTCTCCGGCAAGACGCTGTTCAGTGCGCTCTATGGCAACTATACAGTCACGCTAAATGAGCTGAAATCACTGATAAAGGCCAGCACATCAGGCAAAAATATTCCAGCCGGGGAGGAAGGCTTCAAAGAAGTCCGTAGGCGGAAACGACAAAGTACCGCTGAAACCGCAC